CAATGCTCTCCGGAGCTGTACCTGTAGGCGTAACGAATTGATCCAGACCTAAAGAAGATTTGAAGGAGAAGAACAGTGGGAGGAGGAGGAGGAGGAGGAGCAGGAGCAGGAGGAGGAGGGCGTGTTATTTTTTATTTTTTAGTGGATTAAGGAACAAAATCAAGAGACAGTGAACCATATTGAGTGGGATCAGTAGCTGATGGAGTGAACAGGCTTGCTTGTCTTGATTCAACAAATTAACTTAATCATATTATTAGGCCCACTACATATGGCCCAGATGTAGCAGTTGTTGGCTCGTTGGAGTTGAGTCGAGCAGCCCTGTTGTATTCAAATGTTATTTTGTCATTAAGACAACATGCAGTAAGAACTAAACGAATGAAGTGATATTTTATTTTTTAAGTAGATTGGAATAAGAAATACAAATTTAAATTTTTTATTCAAATTTAAATGTATTTCTATTCAAAATTTTTTTAAAAAATGATATTCTTTATGGGTTTTATAAAAAGGATTTTCTATATTTGATAAATGTAAAAAATTAAAGTGAAAAGTAAATAAGAAATTTATATGCACAAAGATTTTTTTTAGCATTGTAAATCATTAAAATTATTTTTTTATATTTAGCTAGTTTTATTAATTTATTTACATTTATTGTAAATCTAACATACAAGATTTTGTTTTTTAGTTAATAAGTATAAATTATAGAATATAATTTTCTATTTAAATAGAATAAAATTAATATTTAAAATTTGATTATTGTAACCACAAAATATTAATCAGGATGACTATTATAAATTATGGTTTTTTTTTTTTATGAAAATAGCTATAGTTTTGATGCAGTTCTTATTTCTTCTGTGAAAAACATTATTTCGTATTATTAATAAATAAATATTAAAAAACTAGAAATAAGGAAAAAATAAAAAATAAAAAGGAGAATAATTTTATATTTTAAATGTTTAACTAAACAACTATTGGAATAAAATTTATGTATGGGTATTAGATTGTAGATCACTTATTTGGCTAAGTTCATCATACACATGACTGATAGTATTCTTTCTACTTATTTATTACAATTCTATTTTTTGGTTATTCAATTTTGTTTTTTGAATCAATATGGTATAATTTAACTCAACATTGTATATGTTCAGGTATAATTATGTTATAGTATTATAATTAATTTATATTAGGTTTATCTAATTGCATGATTGGTAGTGATTTCAAAAAGAAAATGATAGGTACAACTAGCCTACATGTTATATTATCCAATATACATATTAGATCGTATAAATTTTATCATAATAAAAAAAAAATTATTTTCAATATACACTCACTACCAAAAAACTATCACATACAAATAAGAATACCAATATAAAAAATACTATTAGTAAATGATAATAATATTTATCGATGAAGAATCATGATGTTATTTATGTTCGTAATAACCAACAAAAAAACTTTTGTCGATGATTACATAGTGGATCACTGAGG